TAGATTACATTCAATTGGCTGAGAAAACAATCCTTTTCCCAGAATCTCTTTCGAGAGTGGGACAAAAACTAGCCGATAAATCAAACATTGTTGTTTTTATGATAAAGTTGCGCTATGTTTACTTTATAATGAAGGCATCAATGAATTTTTTTCTCTATCGTTTGAGTTGATACTGAGAAGAAAAATAGTGCTTTTATAGTTCACCTATTTGCGCATTAGTGATCGACTGTGAGAAATAAAAATCGCTACACACTCTGAAAGGAAACAATGTGACCATAGGCCTTTTTTGTTTGTCGTTCTGGTTCAACAAATTTCCTGTAAATGGTGATGAGAAAAAGGCTTGAGCATGTTGATCTAGTGAGCAAAACAGGAAAAGGGTATAAATGACAGCAGATTACGATAGAAGTATTACTTATACCTCTGCTATTTTCTACTCTAAGTTATGGGATTGACTTCGATTTCAAAAAGAAGAAATCAAATATTTCGCATTTCTTTATTTATTATTCTTTAACGAACGTTCAGTAGCTTCTTTAGATCTCATTTGTCGTCCACAGGCAACAAATAGAAGATTAGTCGATGAGCATCTCTTCTCTTCATCTTTCTCTCAGAAAGAGAATGTATTTGCACACGATATATTTGAGTAGCTGTTCTCTTGCGCAAAAAAAGTATGTTAAAAAATCCACCAATGCATTATTTTGTTAACCGATAGTTCTTGATATCTTCCTACTTGTAAAAATTTACGACAAAATTAATACTCAGATGGAATGCAAACGAATCAGCGGGTCTTATTAATGCCTCTATGTGGTTCGAAGGCTATCACTAAATCAAGTGTTCCAAAAAATGTTGTACAGAGTACGAAACAATAATGAACAATAGAGTGTTGTCAATAAAGAACACATGCTCAACTTTTGACCACTGTATTCTGACGACCTTTTCATGCACGATCCGTAGAATGAACAGCGACTTGTATAAATCAGTTTTGATTATTGCCTTATCAATTAGCGAATTGTAATCATCACATCATAGAAATATAATGAAGAAAACGAAGAAAAATAATGACAATCTTTTTCCAGTAATGAAAGTAAAAATAGATAGTTGCCGTTCGCTATGTGTCAAATGTGATCATTCCAACCATTCGAAGTTATTTTCTGTCAGAAAAAAGCTGCTGGATCAGTATACCTTTCATGCAGAACTTCTCACAGTTGATTTCCATGAAATATGATATGTATCAATAACGATCGAAAACACATTTTGTCTGAACTCCACTTAAACTTCAATTTAATCTTTATCGAGAAATTTTCTTCACCGTAGATGTTAGAAAATACAACGTTCCGAAAGTTAACACAGAAGACTATATGCCTAAGTGTTGAACAATTCAAATAAAAAGAACATGAGCTTGCTAGAGTTTCATATGATGTTGCTTAAAGTTTTGTTTACTATAATGCCATCTATGCTAGGCATCTTAAATAATCGTATTGAACTGAATTATACAAGTCTACACTTCTCTCAGTGTTTAAAAGCAAACGTTACAGTGTTTCTTTCGGAATCATCTTCTTTTCTTTACTTATTCTTAATTCTATTTCTATCAGACCTTAAATAGAAATCTTCCTTACATGGTTTTTTCGTGTTGTTGTAAATATATTGTACTATTAATAAATCATTATTCAAACACTAATAACAAAAATCTGATAGGAATATTAAGTAAAAATAAAACTAATAACGTTTATTATCATATTCAATAATTTTTCATAAAAAAATGAGTAAAACAAAAAGCTGTCTATTGATAATGTGTTACATACTTGTAGCCTTTGCAAGTTTCAAAAGAAAATATTTTTTATTAGTTCTAGATTTATATAGTGTCTTTCAAACAAAAATAATATTAACAGACAATATATATGAGTCTCTCTAAATTTTGCATACAATTTCGATAAACTGCAATCATATTGATGACGCCGTATGGTCTCAATTTATGATTCTTTATAGTTATGAATTTCGTCATTTTTCGATACATTTTAGTGATTCTTGAACAAGTAAAGGAGTATATACCGACGAGTCAGTACTGTGAAACAAATTATTCTGTAACTTAGTCTACATATAACAGAACGACCATAGATGTGGTACAAATAATATTCAGTAAAACGAAGACAAAAATAAATGTAAAGTGAATTCAATTGTTCTGTTTTCCTGCATAAAAACTTCAATAACTATCAGGGAAGCAAATCATCGAAAGGAAACACACGTAAACTAACTTATTGCACTCTTCTCGTGAAATTCTAGATAAATACATCAGAAAAAAATCAGGAAAAAACTTAAGCTAAACTAATTTATTCGCTTTTTCTTAGAAGATACAGAAAATTATGGTCGAAATTAATAGAGCAAAACAAAATTAATTTATTCGCTTTCCTTCAATATGATGCTCGACAACTATCGGATAACTAAATGAGAAAAAAAGAAACTAAAGTCATTTTTATGATTCTGAGGCTCTAATAAAATACTCCAGAACCTAGCACGGATACTAAATGAAGAAATTAAAGTGAAGTTAGTTTTCTAATTACATTTTCATTATAAAATACCAGAAGAAATGAGCAGAAAATGAAACCTGTACTAGCTCTCTTCATTTCTCTCAGAACATGCGAGGGGAAGTACGAACATTGTCAATAGAAAAAAAAAAGTTATTAGACTCAGTCATTTAATATTTTCCATAAAATTCGCGATCAGTATAAGGGTAACTAAAAGATAGAAGAGAAAATTAAACTAAATCAACCTATTCAGGCTTTCTTAGAAAGCGACGGACGCTATTGATATCGATGATAAAAAAATAACGAAATGAAAAGGAAAGTGTGTTTTCTCATTCTATTGCTTCTATGAAATCTCTGATAACTATCGAATAAACTAAATGGCATTTTCCCATTTTTCTGGTAACAAGCTAAGAAAGTTTTAATGCATTCAATCGAAGAAAAGCAAACTAAACTAACTAATTCTGCTTTTAAGACACAGTGAGGATCAGGGGTGGGTGTGGGTGTAATTGGAGAGAAAACTCGCGTCCCAACTATCTGCAATGCAATATTATCAAAAGATAACAGATCATTTTCTAGGAGGATTATTTCCATATGTTCGTCTAGTATCATTATATGATAAACATACTTTTGAACATGAATTTTTTATTCGAATTTCTCAATCATTTTCATTCATGGAAGATTTAACTATGATTTATCACCAATCACAAAAACATAAACAACTTTATAAATCAATAAATCATAATGACAATTCATCAATTGTTAAATATAATTATCTCATTACACTTGATGGTTCAAAAGTTCATGATAATTATATAGAAGAATTTTTATTTAATACAAAAATTTATTTTCATATTAATCATTAGAAAGAGTGATCCACAAGTTTACAAGAGATGATAAACGAATTAATTGTCCTAAAATAAATGAAATTTATATATTCGAAGAAAAAAGTTATTCCAAATCTGTACAAGATCATTTTCCTTTTGCAATAATACATCGATTATTATTTTAGTAAAACAAATTTATTATCTTATTCAAAGATCAAATATTTAAAAAAAAAGAAAAATATTTCTATAGAAAGAAGTCAATACCATCATGTGTGAAATGCTCTTATCTGTCAGGAAGCTGACTTCTATTACTAGAAATCACTGTAAATCAGTTTATTTTCCCTGAATTTGACTAACATATTTATTTATCAGTATGAATGAGAAGAAACTATCACTTAAAAAAGAGCATTTCTAAACTGAATTCGGTGGTGAAGTAGCCTAGAACTAGAACAAAATTGAACAATCAATAATTTTGTTTTTTCTCACCTGATCTTTTTCACATTTTTTATCTAGACACTCATCATACGAAACTTCTCCTCGAATCAAATGCTTGATGAGGGAGCATAAAATTTTCTCAATACTGTATAACAAAGTCAAGTTATAGTATATCTTGTTTTTTTTTCAGTTTATCACTTTTCTATTTTTCATGCAAACATCTATTATTCTGTGCTTCAGAAACGAACAAATAAATGTCCACAATGAAGGAATATTCTTTACCAGACTTCCTTGAAAGAAATCTAAAATTTTCTTCGTCATGCTTTTTTTTTTAAATAAATAAAAGCTTAAGAGAGATTATCTACATAAAAAGTTCCCTGTAGAGGTGAATAGATCTGTAAATTATAAAAATTTTTACTTTGATAAAAGAAAATTTGATAAAGAGTTATTTTAGGTCCAATCTTAATTAAATAAAAAGATTTTTTTTATAAAAACAATTGTTCACTTACTAATAATCCATGTGATTGATAATTATTATATTTATCAAGATAAAATTCTTAAATTTTTCTACTAAAGAATATTAATCTATTTCTATTGAATTGAATCATCTTAATCGAAATATTAATCATTGATGATTTTATGTATTTTGATTATTAATATAATCTTTATCATTGAAATCTATATTAAAATAAATAAAAATACTTCAATAATTAATAAAAAAATTTCACTAAAAAGACATAAGAATAAGAGTACATCCATCTAATTCATCAATAAATTAATAAGAATTATATTTATTTAAATCATCAATTTGAAATTGAATTGAAATTAATTAATATTAATAAATCTCATATAAAAATTATTGATTGTAATCAATAGAAATATCTTTTCCATTTTAATCAATAATTGAGAGTGATATTTATACTAAAACATATGTATCTAATCGAAAATTTGCAAATGAAGCAAATGGTTTCATTATTGACTAAGAGAAAAATATTTTATAATAAAGATTTTATCTAAAAAAAAAATAGAAAACAACTGGAAGAGACATTTTCATCATCTGATAATGATTAAAAAGCTAATTCAACTGTAGAAATAAAAACATCATTTTCAGTATTATACAATATTCATCATGATACAAGTGTAATTGAACGAACAGTTAAAATTTTATGAGGATTTTATAAAAGTTATGTTGAAATTGTTAAACATACAACAGTATCAACTTGCAAAATTGAGTTTTATCCCAATGTCAAACAATTACAATTGCTAATAAATTAATTAATCAATTTTTAATTTTTTTATAACGCTACTTCATGGCTCGAAAACTCCAATTTATGCAACTTTTAGTGCACGAACACCTTAGTATGAAAATACAGTTCGAATAGATCTGATTTCAATGAAAAAAAATTCTAATCTATCGTTAGACACCTGTTCATGATGATTCAATGACTTCAACTGCTCATAATGATGCATCAGTTTCATACTTGTAAAATTTTGCAAAAAGAATAGTTTCTTTTTAATCAAATAAAATTTCTTTTCTTCATTTACAATTTTTGAACACTATAACTTGTGAGTGCGGTATATGGATTGAGTGAAGAAAAAAATCATTCCCATATTTAATAGACATAATATTTTGCCAGGTTGACGTATAAAACAAGGTACACCTTATCTTAATGATTGAATAGAGTTTGATAATGTCTACTTCAAACAAGGTTACTATTTGTGGAAATCAAGTGTTCTATTGAACACATTTTTCTACCATTATTTTCTCTGAATCTTCTCGCTCGTAGCTGGTAATTTATATGTATGTTTTATTGTTATGACTCTCATGTAAAAGTGCAAATTTATTTTTCTTCTCTCTTTTCTCCATTCTGAACCATTTTATTTGAAGCACAATAATGAAATTTTAAAAACAAACAGAAGATTTTTTTTTCAAGCTGTTATTGAAGAAAATGTTGAGTAACAATCATAAAGGATCACTCCACTGGATAGTAAGGACAAAAACCAATAACTAAGTTTATGAGCTATACTTTTAATGAAAAATGGTAACGATTGATTAATGTGGATGGCTCATAAGAATTTCATAAATTTCTCCAAGTTACTTTAAGAGATAATCTACTACTCGATCGAGAAATCATTTCCTCTGAAGAATTTTGCTTTACATCTTTTCGATCATATGAAATAACAGAGCATATAAAATTTACCTATAAATCCAAAAATTTTAGCTTTGCTTCAATGACTGTTGACTAAATATGAAGGACATATTGAACATGACACTAGATCGTTAAAAATGTTTTCTCGCGCTCGAAATTTTCAGCAACAATGTCGATCTAAAATCTATTAAAAATACTTCTTAGTTTAATTACTCAACAGACGGTGCGTGTGGGTCGGAGTGTAGGAGTATTTCTTATCTCACACCCACACTAACAGTATTACATTACTATTCGTCGACCTATGGTCATCGTGATAAAATCCACTAGTACCAACATCACCTATTTTTTAAGAAATTCTGGTATTGTTTGGCCAGCCTATTGAAAGAAACCAACTGAAAATTCATGTTGAATTTAGAAAACAAAATATGCTTGGCATAATTTTAGTATAAGTTCAAGAGCATTTTTTCTATCAGATTCTCGATCTGGATCAAAAAATGATATGGATTTCCCCCAAAAAACAGCATGACCTATGCAAAAAAAAAATTTCAAAACTATTTCTCCTTTTTCTTGTTTTTCTTATGATTCATTCTACTTGTTCGACCAATAAGACGAATATAAAAATCACTTGTATCTGGTAAATCATAATTAACAACAAAATCAATAAAAGGAAAATCTAAACCACGAGCAGCAACGAATGTTGCAACAAATATTAGACATTTTCCATTTGTAAATTGTTCTACAGTTTTATTTCGTTGTTGATGTGTTGGATTTTCATGGATTATTATACTCATGAAACTTTTTTGTGAAAGTAATGCACCGATAGAATCAGCTGATCGCTGTGTTTCAACAAATATCAAACAACGTTCAGATTCTAAACAAGAACCGAAACAAGAAAATATTCTCATTAAATTTTCTTTAATATTGATTTCTACTAAGATTTTGTTCAAGTAATTGAAAAAGACGATCTTATTTCTTTGTAAGTGGTACTTCTTCAATTGTATGTGCTACATTGATATGTGCACTCATAGAAAAAAAATATAATCTTCACGAAGGATATGTTTTGTTAATTGTTGTAATTGATTAGAAAATGTTGCGGAAAATATCCATGTAATACGTTCTTCTTTTGATGATAAACCAAGACTTTCTAATTTTCGTATATCAAGTTTCAAATCTGTATCTAACATTCTTTAGAAAAACAAAAAAAAACGCAATCGAAATTAGCGGGTGTGGGTGGGTCTGGGTCTGGGTGCGAATCTTCTTTTCAATGACAACCACACCCACACCCACCACTCAAATCTAACATTTATGTGAAATGCTAGAAATGTTTTTGAAAAACGTTTCCCAACATAAAATGTTCAATTATTTCTCAACTAAATTGAATAGTGACTCAGTCAATAGTTTACCAAGTTTTTTTTATTGTATATGCATAGCATTGAAGGTATTCTTTCCAAACTAACAAAGCTTGAGCGTATGTTTGATAGATGGAGGGAGGGGGAAACACCCCCTTTAAAAATGTGAAAACACACTGTAGTTACTGTTGATAATCACAAGGAGATTGTATTACTCTATCTATTTTGGGACACACTTATTCACAAATGTAACAAGAAATATAGCTCACATATTATAATGAGACGCTATTGATATCCAGTCGGTGATTTTATATCAACAATATCTGTCACAGTCTGTGACAAGATGCAAATTTCTGTCCTATAGTTCAATACTTCTTTTAGATCATGTATCACAAAAGCTATAGTTTAAAGACTTTAAGACTGAAGTCGTTGCTATTTCCCACTCGTATATTCTTATTGAGAACAATGTTTTCTGCTAAAATTACTATTTGAAGTCCTTTATGCGTTTAAGGTCCCCTCAAAAAAGTCATTTTTCGTCAGAATCATCGAAGTTAATCTAAATACAGGGGACGATAGTCCATGATCTGATGTCTCATAAACGACAAAAAATTTTACTCGGCACTTTGTTTTTTTCAAAAGTTTTGCAGAATTTTCGTCTTCCTCTATTCGAAAAATAAGCTGTTTTTGAAAAAAAACCGAAAATTTTTTTCGTTTTTTCTCGTTTTCTAGGTTTTCGATCGTATCTTCAAGAACTCTCGAAGCAGCTTCATTGTAGCCAATAACTTTTGTATTGCTTGAAAGCTCATGTTTAGGGCTAGCCTCTCTCGTGATCCTTTTTTTTAAATAGCTTTTTTATTATCATATAAGAAAACACCTTTATAGAAACAGTGTCATTTTTTAAGGAATTTTTTGAATCATTGAACTTGTCATCCCTTTTCTTCGGTTAAAAAGTAAGAATTTAAAAACGAAGGCCACGAGGGGAGCTAGCCCTAAGCACAAGCTTTCAAAGAAAAAAAATTTAAATGTATAGAATGAAGACCCATACAGAATTCTTGGAGATACAATTGAACTATCTTTGACCATTGTTTGGTGAATATCTCCGTTA